AAAAAAAAAGAACGGTCGTTGTGGGCGGGGTTGTTGGTTTGGCACACACACAGCGGACGGTGCAAGCCGCCACAAGAAGGGAACTGAACCTACCTGCGTCTCTACAGATGCAGCACTGCGGGTTTCCCTCATTTTCTTTTTTTTTTTTCTTGCACCAACAAAAACCCTCCAAAAAATGGAGCTCTTATTGTTTTGTCCTTCTTTGCTTCTCTCCCCTTTTTCTTCAGCTGTACTTTCGTTGTTGTTGTTGTTATATTATAGCGTCACCGTGCTGTATCAAAGGTGCCAACTTTGTAGGAATCCTCCATTTCATGCTTGTGTGTTGTTTTGTGTTCACCATTCCCTCGAGCGTGTGTTTCTCTGCATTGTTGTTTTCTGTTTGTACACTGTACATTAGAGCGCAGAACTCCAAGAGACGCACTGTGGTATTTAATATTATAATACTTTCTTGTATATGCGTCCATGCCCCTCACATACACACACACATATATATATATATATATATATGCATGTATGTGTGGCCTCAATTCTTATGTGTATGCATGCGTGTTTCGTTTTTTTTTGTTCTCTCTTCTGCTCTGCGTCACTGCGGCGGTGTCTGCGTGAGAGTGCACCTCACTGCGGTTGCGCAGCCCTGCGATCTGCCGCGCGCGCGACGATGTCGGTGAAGGGACGGAAAAGGCGGCAGGGACGAAAAGTGTCCCCGGGCTGGAGGGGGGCAAAGAGAGCTGGTGCGTCTTTATGCAGCTGACATATGGGGTCGTTGTACACAACCGTCTGTGTGTGTGTTGCGCCTGTCACGGCCGCCGTGGGCGCTGGGCTGTGTGCTTTCTGCTCATGATGTTTTCGTTCTCTTTCCCTTTTCTCTGTCTGCCGCTGCACCAACAACAACAACAAAGAGAAAATTTTGTTTTTTTTTTTGTTTAGCCAGACTTCTTTCTTAGCCGTCGATCTACTTTTTCTTCAAGGGAGCAGGAATCAAACGCGTCACACAGCCAGCACCCCGCGTCCTCAGAGAGAGAGAGAGAGAAACGAGAGGTCCACGAAAGGAAATCGACAGAGCAAGTAAGGGAGAACAAACCGAACGAAAAATAATTCGAACAGGTTTCCTCGGCCGCCCTTTGTGCGAGTATCTGTCGTAGGAATAATTCCTTGCATTGCTGTTGCTGTTTTCGGACAACAACAACAACAACAATAACAAAAGGAGAAGGTGCCACACCGAGAGCATCCACTAGCGCGGGAGAGCGAGGGCGAGGAGGCGAAGAGTGTGTCTGAGAGAGAGCGACAGAGGAGGAGGAGAGAAAGAGAGCGAGCGACCTAACCGATCAATCAAGAAGCAAAAAAAAAAGGAGATTATCTGAAGCGACAAGCACATGGAGAGCAAAAGGTGTATTGGGAAGTACCAGCTCGGCAAGACGCTCGGCGCGGGCAATTTCTCCAAAGTGAAGATGGGCACTGACATGGAAACAGGGGAGAAGTGGGCTATCAAAATCATAGACAAGGAGCAGCTTGTGCGCGAACACATGGAGGAGCAGCTGAAGCGCGAGATTGCCGTCATGAAATTGCTGCGCCAGCCCAATATTATTCAGCTGCGTGAGGTGTTGCAGACGACGAATCATGTATTTCTCGTTCTGGAGCTCGTCTCGGGCGGCGAGCTCTTCGATAAGATCGCCCGCGAGAAGCGCTTCAACGAGGCGACGGCGCGCCACTACTTCCACCAACTCATCGCCGGTGTCCACTGCTGCCATTGCTGCGGCATTGCCCACCGCGACCTTAAGCCGGAGAACCTGCTGCTGGACTCAAACGGCACGCTGAAGATCTCTGACTTTGGGCTCAGCAACCTTCACCGCACCACTGTGGGCGGGCCGGGCACGATGCTGCAGACCGTCTGCGGCACCCCGAACTATGTCGCGCCGGAAGTGCTGAAGGAGCGCGGCTACAATGGCGCCCTGGCAGACATATGGAGCTGCGGCGTCGTGCTGTATGTGATGATGGCTGGTTACTTGCCCTTTGATGATGAGAATATCAACGCACTTTTCACGAAGATTGAGCGTGGAGAGTACCGCATTCCACGACACTTTTCGCCGGGCGCGTGCGACATCATTTCGAAGATGCTGACAGTAGACCCCAACAGGCGCATAACGATGGAGCAGATCTTGCACCACCCGTGGTTTATTGTGGATTGGAACCCGGCGATGCTGGAGATGGATCCCAACGTAGGGGTGTCAGCGGACCAGATGCGCGACGCCATTCAGGACGTGGCGTAAGACCACTCTTACTCGGCCAGCACATGAAACCACCTCGCTTCATCAGCGCGTATAATGATCGAGAGTGGGTGTGGGTACACCAAGTACAGGGGTGTATGTGTAGATGTTTTGTATATCTATGTGCGCATGCCTGCTTGGGGAGGACGGGGGACGGAGCAAAAGGACAATACGGAAAGAGAAATCACCGAAGATGACGATGCGAAGGAAGGAAACCACTACGTTGTGTGATGAGCACATTGGGGTGGAATATGCCCAAGAAATGGGGACAGCGGAAACAAGACAATGACGCTGACGCGGATGGTAGGAGCTCTCCGACCCGCCACCACCAACAATATGAGATGCAAAGGGGAAAAAGACAGGAAGTGCAGCGGGAGTAGAGGAGTGGGTAGAATACGAAACGAAGCCACAACAAAACAACAACAACAAAAAAAAAAAACAAGCATTTTAAACATGATTGAAGCCATTTGAAAGAGGAAAAAGAAAGTGTAATGCAGAAATTGGAGGAAAGTGTATGTATGAAAAAAAAAAAA